ATGCCAAGCTATGTCAAAACAAATGTTTATCTATACAGTATACTGGAGAACTGTCGTAGTAAATTATTCTGGTATGCCATTGCTTGACTTGAATTAAAATTACCAACAGCAAATTTCTCAGTGTATAATCCAATCTGGTTGTTTTTTGGCTATTGTCTTGGCAGAAATCTGCAAATATGGTCCATATGATACAAACTGCCTTGTACTGCTTTGTATTTCTTCAAATAAGTAATGAAAGTAATGGAATATCTATGGGAAGCCCCTTCTTTTGTTTATGATCTTAAACTCAATCCAAGGCCTTCAGGTCAGCATTGGAATTATTGCTACAAGTTCTAAGAGCCAGTAATAAAACAAATAAAATGATTTTATTCCAGAGCTTTAGAACATTCTGCAAAAAATAAAAATAAGAAATAAAGACAACTCTTCAAGTGTCTCAACAATCTACAACAGTCCATTTGACTCAGGAAGATCATACTACAAGTTTATTCTAGGTTATGTTTTGTTTGATTTAGTAATAGTGGTACTTTATAACCTGACAGCAATGCTCCTGTTATGCCTCCGTGTAGCGCAATATGAGATTTTTCATGGCCTGATTGTTTGGAATCCAGAGAAACTGGTGCCTGAAAAGTTCAACCAATACTTTTGGTCTGATATGTCGGGTAAATTTTGATTATTTACCCCAAATTGTCATTTGAATTTACTACAAACTCACCCACAGCCCTTTTTTAACATAAATTTACGGTAGTGTATTTATGTTTTCTGTAGTTAACTCTTCACACCAAAGTTTTCAAATTATTCAGATTCTGAAATAAAATTTAATGTGTGAAATTTAAGGCCAATAAGTGCTCGGAAGTGCAAATATCAGCGTGATATACCTGCCAACTGATATATGATATATGAGTCTATCGCTATTTCTTCCATATGCACAGGTGAATTGATAAAAAAGATAAGTTTTCTTAAAAAGATTTATTCAGTATAGGCATATACACGTTACACATAGATGTTTTTACATGTCCATGATGCGTCTCATGCTCATGAACCTCATGCCGCTCCAGCCCATCTCTCTGAAGCTCCTGTACTCTCCAGGCCTGAAGTACATCATCCTGCCTCTGTAGTGAGGCTGCTCGTACATCAGCCAGTGGCCGTCCATCACATGGCAGGACATACAGTCGTTCATACGGTAGCGGTCCATGATGTTGTCACAGTCATCCATCAGCTCATACATCTGCCCTCCGAAGTTCTCCCTCTCATAGATCCTCATCCTGAACTGGCCTCTGTGCTGTAACATAATGTTTTTTTATTAGTCATATGAATATGGGATGAATGTAATTACAGAACAATACATACCATAGGGATCATACGGCAGGATCTGATGCAGTCCCTCATTCCCATCATGCTCATGTAGTCAGCATACTCGCCCCTCCTCATGAAATACTGGTTTCCCATGTAGTTTGGACGGTCATAGACCATGAAGCAGCCACTCTCCACCCTGCAGGAATGACACCTGCTCAGGTAGGAGGTCATGTCAGAGCAGTCACTCATGCACTCATAGGAGCGCCCCTGGAAGTTCCTGTCCTCATAGAAGATAATCTGAAATATGAGAAAACATGAACATTATGAATCAGTGAATTCCCCACGATAGTTGACTCTCATACCAATTCAAATGGAATTATTTCAACTAATTTTTCTCTGGCTTTTGCTTACCTTTCCCATGGCTACTGTGGTGTGCAAGTTCTTCACAGGACTGTGTGGCTGTTACAATGTGAGTGGCTGTGTTTTTACTGTTACTTTTATACCTGACAAAACCAAAGAATTTGTAGCTTCCATTGTGCAAAGCCCCTGACCAAGCAACATGTATTTGAGGCCTATGGAGGGCCATGGGCCATTTGTCAAAATTTCATGTGACTGGATCACCTAGAAAACTTTACAATAGATCTTTCCATGGGAGAATCACTACAATGGACATGTTTAAACTACAATATAGAGAGACAAATGGTAAATAGCCTTTATGGGTATTGTATTGTAAGTCTTTGTGTGGTCATGATTGCTCTCTATTACAGTGTTATATCAACTAATTGTGTCCTATTAATTTTTCAGATAAATACAATAATTATCATGGATCAGTGTATCTACTTGGAGTAATCCCAGTAATGGGATTAAGTAATCTTCTAATGCTGATTGTTTCAGCACTAAGAGACAATCTTTGCAATCATTAGCTACCTAAATGTAAAGCGCTCATGCTGGGGTTTTCAAGATGTAACTTCAATAAAATCCTACTCAGTGTGACACCACATAACATAAACATCTGATGATTTTTGTTTTCTGGTCAAGTTAGATTGTCTTGTAAGATCTGTAAAATAAAATAAGTATTAAGTAATAGCATAAAGAACCATTTTAGGTTTGTCTTTTTATTTACTTTGAACGACCACATGGACTTGTATGAGCAATTTGGGCCATTGTTAGTGTAGTCATGGATGGTGGGAAGTCTTTTATTATTTTTGTCTTATTTGTTTGGTTGTGAAACAGTGGACATCCATGTGGGCAGTTTTTCAAAGATAAAAAAATAGAATTATGTATTCATCTTAGTTTTTATTTATTTATTTATTTTTAGGTTCTAATAGATAAAACCATGTTTATGTAACCAAGCAATATCCTATTATACAGGCAAATGTTAAACTTGTGGAAAATGACAGACCATATATATATTTTTTATGCATTTATTTTTTATTTAAGCAATTACATATTTGATATAATTATGATTTTTTAAAATAAATCAAGTCCATAAACAGTGATGGTAAGAAATGTGATTCATTTATTCAGATAATGTGTTTTTAGCACATGTCCATGATGCGTCTCATGCTCATGAACCTTGAGCCACTCCAGCCCATCTCTCTGAAGCTCCTGTACTCTCCAGGCCTGAAGTACATCATCCTGCCTCTGTAGTGAGGCTGCTCGTACATCAGCCAGTGACCGTCCATCACATGGCAGGACATACAGTCGTTCATACGGTAGCGGTCCATGATGTTATCACAGTCGTCCATCAGCTCATGCATCTGACCACCAAAGTTCTCCCTCTCGTAGATCCTCATCCTGAACTGGCCTCTGTGCTGTTGTTCAGTGTGACATACAAGAACTGTATGTGTTTTGTTTTCGTTAATTTTTTAAAATTCTGTTTTACACTTACCATTTGGATCATACGACAAGATCTAATGCTACCGCTCATTCCCATCATGCTCATGTAGTCAGCATACTCGCCCCTCCTCATGAAATACTGGTTTCCCATGTAGTTGGGTCGGTCATAGACCATGAAGCAGCCACTCTCCACCCTGCAGGAATGACACCTGCTCAGGTAGGAGGACATGTCAGAGCAGTCACTCATGCACTCATAGGAGCGCCCCTGGAAGTTCCTGTCCTCATAGAAGATAATCTGAAAAAATTAAATAATAATATTAATGCAGTTATGTTATATGTATTAGAGATTTTATTGGTGCATTACCAGTCACTAATCCCTACCTTGCCCATGTTGATTGTGGTTTTGCAGGTCTCTCAGAGAACTGATTCAAACTGATAACATTTCTGTCAGAACATGCTTCATTTATACCTAGCCAGACACAATGACTGTGCCCCACCATTATTAAAAATCCTGACCCAGCAACCATAGGAAAGCCTACACAGTTGTTTAGTCATATACCACACCGAATATTCCTTTAGCTATAGCCTAAAAGTACTTATTAACTAATAAAGATTTAATTCAATTTAGGGGTAGGTTGTATACTTTATCATTACTGTCATTAGATATAACAATGCCATGATGTTTTAAGTAAGAGAATCACACATTTTAGTTGCAATTGAACACCTTTAAGGTGCTGTCTGTCATATTAAGGTGATGCAGGAAGTCCTTTGTGTCCACAGCATAGAGTCAAAGCGGATGTTTGTTTTTTGTTTTGGGATATTGATCTTTTATCCATGTTGGTTTGCAAATAACCACCAGAAGAACATACTTAACTTTTTAATAAATACTATGGATATATTTAAGCACCTGAAAGGGCATTAAAAAGTGCATTCAACTATATTATACTTTTCAAATCAGCACATGTATGAACCAGCATAGTTTACAGTATATGAGTATATATATAGAACAAATAAACCAATGTATTAGATACATGGACACACTATGAACAAAGCTCGAAATACTATGTAAACAAGCAAAAATTATAAATTTGCATGCACACTTTTTAGTACATTACATTATGTTTAATTAAATTAAATGTATCTTTATTTATCTATAAAATTATACATGATCTCTTTAGAATTACTGTTTGATGGGCATATTACTGTGTGTCAATTTACCATGTGAGAATGATCTTGGCAGCTATGCATGGCGGGTGTATTTGTGTGATGGCAGGGTATTTGTGAGAGCAGATGTGGGACAATAAATGGGAATTAGTCCATGCCTACAATGTGACATGTTTACAGCATAACATACCATGTATGTTCATTACTGTAACCACCAAAAAATAAAAAAATATTTCTTTTTAATTTTGTTTAACAACATTAATTGCAATGCCCATCGGTGCATCATGTTTTGTGTAATTATATAATATTTACAGGCTATCAGAATATTTTTTAGAATGTACATACTTTCTGCCATCATGTGATGGTGGGTGCTTTTTTACCTAAAATTCTGACTGATCTCATGAAACCTCTAGTTTTCCTTGCTATGTATTATTTAGTGTACTTGTCTTTTCTGTGAATGCTCTGAATGCTGTGGTTGTATTTCAAAAATCATAAATAACCCAAGAAATTGATCAAAATTGTATTTATTAATGACAAAATTGTTCTTATTTGTCAGGAGACAGTCTGGTCCTACACCAACATTCTTGACATTCTTCTTACTTCTATTTACTTTTGCTCCTTTGTTATGGGAACTTCCAAACAACCAGTTAATTAAAGTGAAAATACACGAGTATCTCCTTTCATTCATGGATTTTAGCAGACATTCAGTACCAAGAATCCATGATGCGTCTCATGCTCATGAACCTCATGCCGCTCCCGCCCATCTCTCTGAAGCTCCTGTACTCTCCAGGCCTGAAGTACATCATCCTGCCTCTGTAGTGAGGCTGCTCGTACATCAGCCAGTGGCCGTCCATCACATGGCAGGACATACAGTCGTTCATACGGTAGCGGTCCATGATGTTGTCACAGTCATCCATCATCTCATACATCTGACCACCAAAGTTCTCCCTCTCATAGATCCTCATCCTGTAGTTTCCTCTGTACTGGAATATTAACAGAAATGTGTTGATCACAAGAAATATTGAGGAATATAAATAAAGTAGAAATATTTGTGGAAAGTGCACTTTTAAATTTACCATAGGGATCATACGGCAAGATCTTATGCAATCAGACATTCCCATCATGCTCATGTAATCAGAATACTCGCCCCTCCTCATGAAATACTGGTTTCCCATGTAGTTGGCACGATCATAGACCATGAAGCAGCCACTCTCCACCCTGCAGGAGTGACACCTGCTCAGGTAGGAGGTTAGCTCAGGGCAGTCACTGCTGGTCTCATAAAAACGACCCTGGAAGTTCCTATCCTCGTAGAAGATGATCTGGCAGATAAAACCAACTTTTGTTAATTATCGTCTTATGATGTGCAGATAAATATTAAAATGCAGATTATTTATAGTGTTGGTTTGACAATAGTAAAAGTTAGAACTTGCCTTGCCCATGGTTACTGTCTTGTTATTCAAGTTGTGGCAGCTGTGCATACCTGGTGGTGTGAACTGTTACTTTTATACTTGAGGTGAAAAGGGTAGGGAGAGCTTCCATTGTACAAATTCATGAGCCAGCAGGGTTATAGAAACCAACTGGACCAACTGTTTACAGCTTATTCTAGCTCCACAGAGTCATGTATATATTGTTGTCCTATACATAAAGAATATAACTGGGACCTTCCATCAAGTTTGTAATTGTGTTTTTTAATAATTTTTTTCTGGATTTTTTAAATTTAATTTCACTTATTTATTTTTTTTACTAATATGGTGAGGAGGGCTGTAATGTTGTTTGACTATATTTATTTGTCACTATAAATACATTATTAAATATTATGTATTTATTTATTTTATAATCAGTTGGGATAAACCTTGTGAATTTTTTTATAATAATAAAAATAATGTATTTATAATTCATTATGAAACCTGCACAGATCATATTTGTTAGTTATGCTTAACAAATACAGCAAGTAGGTCAAAATAAGTTTGTATACGTGTACAGTTTGTTATGATGTGATAAATATGTGTATAATTTAGTTCTAACTGTTGATTTATATGTCATATCCTAATGTGAAAATCCAACGACATTGAAAGTAACTTTATATTGTTGAATACATTTATTTGTGCAATTTTTAAACAATAACATTTCAAGTCTTGAGGCTCTTGTGTTTAGCAGGTCTCCATAATGCGTCTGATAGATCCAATCCTCATGTCCAAGGGCCCTGTCGCCATGTCTCTGAAGCTCCTGTACTCTCCAGGCCTGAAGTACATCATCCTTCCTCTGTAGTGAGGCTGCTCATACATCAGCCAGTGGCCGTCCATCACGTGTGCAGACTGGCAGTCGGACATACGGTAACGATCTTGGATAGACTCGCAGTCATCTACAAGCTCATTCATCTGACCACTAAAGTTCTCCCTCTCATAGATCCTCATTCGGAAAGGACCCCTGTGCTGTAGATTGATAAGCAATGAAATTTAATTAGTCAGTGTATTTTTCCACACTACCAAAATAGCATATTTTCTAGATTTGTACATTCATACCATTGGGATCATGCGGCAGGATCTGATGCAGTCGCTCATACTCATTCCCATCAAGCGCTGGTTGTCAGGGTACTCCCCTCTCCTCACCAGCATTTGGTGACCCATGTAGTTTGGACGTTCGTATACTATAAAGCAGCCGCTCTCCACACGGCAGGAAGTACAGCGACTCAAATAGGAAGTCAGTTCAGCACAGTCGCTGCTGGTCTCATAAGAACGTCCCTGAAAGTTCCTGTCCTCGTAGAAGATGATCTGGAATGAAAGAACATTTTGAATATTGAAATGCATTATTGTAGTAAAGCCATTTAATAAAATAGTAAAGAAAGGACGCTTACTCTGCCCATTTTAGTCCCCAATTGTATCCCTGATTGAACTGGCACTTTGGTCTGCCTAAAGTCACTCACTTTTATACCCATCATGATAGCTTAATGATGTATGGTGCCTTTGTGTGAATATCTTACTCAGCAGGAAAGCATACAGGGCTATAATGTGTGTTAATCACTCTGTAAATGGTTATTATTGTACTGTATGCTTCTGGTGCAGTGCCAAGTGCTACAGCTCAGCAAAGAGGGACAGATGGGTGATAGCTTTGATGACTGAATTTAATGAACCCTTTGTCCCTTTGTTTAACTTTTTTTTTTTTTTTGTCAGATTTTACAATATGTTACTCCATTGTTTTGATATCTAAAATATTAGTTATTTTTAAATTTTTGTTAAAGACTATGTCAAAGATTTTACGAGATGTAAAAAATATGCTTAAAGTAAACTCTCTTTTTATCTGATCCAAATGTGTATATGAAATATTTGTAATGAAAAACGGCATCATCTCTTGTGTGTGTGTAGGGGGTGCGTGTGCGTGTGTGCCTGCGTGTGCGTGTGTGTGTGTGCGTGTGCGAGTGTGAACCATAGACTGTATAAAGAAGTACATACACTGTACAGTCTATTATGTGAACAGATGAGCTGAGGATAAATGATACTAGTATTTCTATACAAAACTGTTTTGCATTTTCTCATGTAAAATTCAGGTAGTGTATGTACAGTACAATAAAATGTGTCTTGTGTCTAAGTACTTTACTTTAATACACATTTTGAGCATATTAAGAATCATATTTTTTCCTCTCATTGATCTCAATTTTCGATTTGATTTCATTTAGTCTTAAAATAAAAATGTCTTATAATATTGATTTGATGAACATAAACAATATAGGCTTTTATTCTGTGCCATTTAATACAAATAAATACATTTCTTCCTCCAAAGTCTGAACTCTGCTCCATACCACATGGTTTTACTGAGAGAACTGGCTATAGATCTCTTGATTCAAAAACCTCAGCCACATCATTGACTATTAGAGATGATTCACGATATCTCAATCTTTTGATTAATTGCCCAGCTCTAGTTTCATCTTCCTGTTTATTGGTGATATTTTGAAGACTTTTTCTCATTCAAAAGATATAATATTTTGTTTTGATTTATTAATTACTATATCAATCTATATTCTCATCACTCTGAAACACATGGTACAAGATTTATATTAAAACACTGTGACACAGTTGAGTTTGAATCTCATGCACTTTTATTTTTCAAAACATTTGAAATGTTATGCTTTAACAGGAATCCATGATGCGCCTGACAGAACTGATCCTCATACCACTGTATCCCACATCTCTCATGCTCCTGTACTCTCCAGGCCTGAAGTACATCATCCTGCCTCTATAATGAGGTTGCTCGTACATCAGCCAGTGGCCGTCTATCACTGTGCAGGACTGGCAGTCAGGCATACGGTAGCGGTCTTGGATGTTGTTGCAGTCATCCAGCAGCTCAAAATTTTGACCCTGGAAGTTCTCCTTCTCATAGATCCTCAGTCGGTAAGACCCTCTGTGCTGTAGTTAATCAAGCAGGTGCTTCATTCATTTATTTTATATTAAGAGTATTGACATGTTTTTTGAGAACTACACATATAATGTTTATCTTCTTTACAGTAAACAGCACAATTACCTGTGGAATCAGACGGCAGGATCGGATGGAACCACTCATGCCAAAAGAGTTGTAGTCAGAGTATTCGCCCCTTCTGAGGAAATATTGGTTTCCGGTGTAGTTTGGACGCTCATAGACCATGAAGCAGCCACTCTCCACCCTGCAGGAATTACATCTACTCAGGTAGGAGGACATGTCAGCACAGTCACTCATGCACTCATAAGAGCGCCCCTGGAAGTTCCTGTCCTCGTAGAAAATAATCTGCAAAAAGTGAAACAAATATAATAAATATAATTTGGTTAATTACTTTTATTTGTGTATATTTGAACTTTTTAGTTAGTTACACTTTTACTCTATCAGTCTCTGCATTACCTTGCCCATGTTTGATGCAATGTGAGTTTGTGGGAATGTGTCCAACAACCTGTGACTGCCAGCAGGCTTTTATACTTTATACACGCTCCAACTCGTGTTTGTTATTCAAATGATCTGAAAAGCTGATGAATAAGCAACTCTGCGATCACAGTTAATTTCATTTGGACCATCATGATCTAGAGGAAAGGGCAGAGAAATGGAAGATTCCAGGAAATAGAGCTGATAAAAATACATTTAGGTACCTGTTTCTCTATTAGATAAGGCTGAAAGTTTTTGCTGCCTCCATATGTTTCAGACATTGAGTTTCAGTTTTGACATATTTCTTGTGTAGTACTTTTTACTTTATATGTGTATTTAAATTTTTATATTTTAAATATATTTTAAAAATCATCAGCCAACATGTGCAAGTACATGTCTAAACCCACTTCTGGAGCACTATATGGTTTAGTGCACACAATTAATTTGATCAAAGTGGCAAATGCAGCAAACTAGACTCATTTTGTCATTTACTGATAATTCAAGATTATAATGATGCTTTCTCTCTCTCTCTCTCTTTCAGTAAAGTGTATTTATGAGGCCTAAATGATCCATGTGATTATTTTGTTATTTTTGTGTTTACAAATAAGGTCCTCATTATAATTATGATGAGGACTTTATTTGTAAACACAAAAACTCTGGAAATTGACTACAGCTGTGAAACTTGGCACTTTGAAACTACTATTGTTTGCTGAAAGGCCATATCAACAAAAGGGGGAATCTAGATAAAACATTTGAACTCTAATAACGGTTGCAGTTGCTAACCATGCATCTGGTTTCTTTGTCTCACCTCATATAAAAAGTACTGGCGTGTGCCTAGTGTTTATATCTCTCATCATGGAGAAGGTGAGAAATTCATTCAACCATCAAATCAACCATGAAGTCTTTCTAGGTGAAATGTTATTCCATTTCTAATCAATTTCTGCAGATTGTGTTTTATGAGGATAAGGACTTCAAAGGGAGGTCCTATGACTGCAAAGGAGATTCTACTGATCTTCACAGCTACATTCGACGGTGCAACTCACTGAAGGTGGAAGGCGGCTGGTGGGTCTTGTATGAGCGCAGCAACTACACAGGCTACCAGTATGTCATTGGCCCTGGAGATTATAATGCCTTCCAGAAATGGATGGGTTTCAATGATTGTGTGAGATCCTGCAGAATAATCAAAAGTGTAAGAACTATATTATATTTATTTATTTTTTATTTTTTGTATAATGTTCCTATCTGAGTTTGCAATTTTCTTTTCAGGCAAAGGGCCCATATAAACTGAGGCTGTTTAATCAACCAAACTTTGATGGTCAATCTATTGAGCTGTTGGATAACATGAAGTCTGTGCCTGAACAATGGCAAAGGAATGAGGTTTTGTCCTGCAAGGTCCTAGCAGGTTCTTGGGTGTTTTTTGAACATCCCAACTTCACTGGGCGACAGTATCTCTTGGAGAAAGGCGACTATAGGCACCACACTGAATGGGGAGCTCTTCGATCCACAGTGGGATCCATCAAAAGAGTAATGCAGCTGTGAAATCCTTGGGTGTCAAGCAAATAAATCATATTATATTGTCCTTCGGTGCTTTATGTTTCATTGTCACTGATAGAATAAACATAGTGTACTATTTATTTGTCTTAAAAATGACATTACTAGAATACCTTAGAGAAATTGTCTGCAATTACTGAAGGATGACAAATGACTAAATTAAACTAATCTAAAGACATTCACTTAAAAGAAAAGAACATGTATTTACCATTAAAACAAGAACTGCAGCCACCCCACACAACAGGTCCCCACGACAAAAAGCTACTACAGATTTTTCTAGGATGCAAACATCCTTCATATGAATTAGATAACAGCATGCGAGCAAATTGCAGTTTAAACTGAAAGTCAAATATAATCTGTCAAGCACCAAAATGGAGGGTGAAGGTGAGGCACAATGTTCTTGATGAGAACACCAGTGTACTGTAAATTCAATTATTTCTAATTCCTTCAGTCAAATAATTTATTCTTTCTGTCAACAGATATTATGAGCACAGCAGTTACTAGAGCTGAGTGTTTGCTTCAACTGTAATTTGGTCTATGTGGAAAGTGACACCTGGGGTCTGTATCAAAGGCCAAACTACTTGGAACGTCATGTATTCAGTACTCTGAATACTGCCACTAAATAGGCTACAATGACAGTGTCAGGTCATGTCAGAATGTTCAAAACGTGAGATTAAGTCCAATATTCCAATATTGTAACTATTTATTGTCTTCATTCTCTAGCCTACATTGATATTTTACAGACCTTTGCTGGATTCAAACTACATGTATACAAGCAGCGAGACCTTGATGGCAAGATACTGGAATGCACTGAAGATATGGGAAATGTGCCTGACCGGTGACCAGCAGCCGCATGAGGTCCAAGTGCAGGGTGGGGCCTGTGAGCTTCCTCACTTCAAGGGGAAGCAGTATGGAGAGGGGCATGTACCTTTGCTACCAACATTGAGCTGCCGTAAGCCCCCATGTAGGCTCTTGACTTTACTCTTTACTCTTAAACTTAATCGTGCTTTGAACCTTTAATAAACAAGTGTACTCACCTGATGTTATCATTTGTTCATGTTATAATGTCTATATTATGAAAATAATATTATTCTAAAAAGTTAGAAAATTATTTCTACATACATGTTTGCGAGTGTAATAAATTAGGCACAAATATAATTTAAAGAATGTATATAAACCCAGAAGAAAAAGTAATTTATCTTGATTTGCCTTTGTGAACTACAGTAGCCCTCCAGGCATCATGCAGGCTGTTTGGCACAGGGCATAAAGCTATGCAGCTGATGAGTCAGTTGGATTTACCAGTAAGAGCTATGAGCATACCAGCCACTGTTAGTGCTGATGCTTGGCTCACTGAACAACACCTGAAAACACAAAAGGGGTCCAGCCAGCATGTTCCACCAGCTGCAGCCATTCACATCTAAAGCCCCTTTGTGAACTACATTCAGAGCCTGACATAATTTTGAGCTATTGTGTGCCCTCTAGTGGACTATTAGAGCCCTCTACTACTCCACTACTATTTACTGTACCTTGGGGCCAATTTTCGCAGAGCAATAACTTTCAATAATGTATCTTGTTAGTTATTATATATATTTAAATTTAATGCCACACATTGGTTTTAGAAAAATCGATTTCTTTTGACATGGCTGAAAGTATTGTCTGCTAAACAGAGATGAGTTTGACCAGAGTACCGCGATGATGCAGACACAGATGGAACAGAGCAGTGCACCATCTGCTAAGATTTGACCACCAGATACTTCAGTTGTGTTAGTGATGGCCTTATGCAAAGAGCTGACAAGACCTCACTGTGAATTTCTCTGTGACAACTTCCCCACTGGGCCCCCTTGTGACATACTGTAGGCCAGGAGTCTCCAATGTTTTTCCTCCTGTGAGCTACTTTTTGTAAAACAAAAATGCCAGAGCGCTACTAATTTTAGCAGCCGCCAGAAATGTTTTAAATATAAGAGCCATGGCAAGCTGTAGATGGGGAATGGGATGCCTATAAAATGGGGAATGGGATGGGGAATGGGGAATGGGGAATTTATAATGTATGGGGAATGGGATGCCTATAAAACATAAACCATTATTAGTGCACAAATTTGAGTTATAAAGTGTAATACGTATAATTCAGAAATCAGAAATCCCTTGGAGAGCTACTCCCGAGCTACAGGTTGGAGACCCCTGCTCTAGGCTGTGTTTATGATATTTGTTTTACACATTTTAAGTTCCAAACCTAAGTTCACTTACAGATACTGAATATTAGTCATATGTGTCATTACTGACAATAATGTCCCCATAGTGGTCTTAATATACCACAAGATATGAGCTGTATGTTCACTTTTCTTTGCTGTGCACTCCACAGGACCTACTGGGCTATGATTGTTGTATAATGCTTGAGGAAATGCTAATTACAATATGATATTACAATATTTGAACAAGTATATTTACAAAAATAAATTATCCAGTTTTCTTTGAGGCTGTGCCATGGTGTAGAAGCAAGGCAGCCTGCCCCAGGGCACCTTTCACCGCCATTGTAACTCATGTCATGAATAATACGATGTAAAACACTTTCGTGTGTTGAAAGGCGCCTTATAAACTCATTAAAGTATTATAATGATTAGTTCTTTTTGTGTTAAGGTTTGAATAATATGTTTTCTTCAGCTTGAAGCCACACTGACATGGTGTGAGAAGACGATGTTGGATACAATGGATTTATTGGCTTTTTACTGTCCAAAGTGTCTTAATGCTGGCATTTTTACTAACTAATTATACATTTATTTCATAACTTTCTAACGTATGTGGTTCAATGATGTCATTTCTACTAATCACTAATTAATGCTTGTATTTGATGAATTGGAACTAAGCATAACTTTCCTAATAAATACAAGTATGAATGTGATGTAATCTCATTTTGCAGCGTGACCACTAGATGGCACGATTACTCAGGGTTGAGTAGTCTTCAGCACATAACAAATATTAAGCTTTCTGTGTTTGACGTATTAACCAGTATATAATAAGACTTACACACAAAATCTTTGCATGACATCGATGTTTATGCTGTTGTCATATTTTTGTGCTAGCTCGTATTTAATAGGACTTAGTGCAGTCCAGCCAGTTATCGATCAATAGATGATTCATACGAGACATTAACAGTTTAAATGGCTGTCTGACACCCAGTATCCAGGACGTCCGCAGCTCACACACCTTCATAGACAGGGTTTAGAGGGAGCCTTACGTGATGTCACACTGGGAAAGAGGAAAGGAGGAAAAATGGTATTGCCATGGAAACCCATCTCCCTCAGTTACTGTATGATATATGCTTTGTCCTGAGTCTGAGCACATGAAGAAGCTTTTATTGTGCCTGAAACAGGCCGCACCAAAGAAAAAGCATCTGCTTACAAAATTATGTAGCAAGAAAAAACTGTACTATACACAACAGAACAGAAATTGCAGAACTTCTGATTTGGTGAACAGACCTAATATTGTAGGCAATTTATGTTGTGCTTAGGAACAAAGAAAATATGAGGACTGGCTTTTCTTTTTTATTGTATATTTTAAACAGATAGAAAGGCCAGTGGTATTTATCCCAGTCTCAATTCAATATTTATCCTGATTTTACAGTAAAGAAATGCTGCAAAAATGTTTCTAGTTTACATTTAATTGGTTTTGTATTACTGAAAGAAGATTTCTGATATTTAAGCTGTTGTTTTTGATATAATAAATAAAAATAAATATATATAAATATTCATGTCGATTTAGCACTTTTTTTTTTAACATGTTCTAAAGAAGCTGGGCTGATCTTTTGTTGTCTTCTAATAGACAACAATACACTTTTCAGCCAGTTAATGAAAGACATAGGCACTATGGTTCATTGGCTGATGACAGGCACCTGCTTTTTGTTGCTATGATACTATGCAGAAGTAATTAGTCAACAGTTAATGTTGTTTTGATTAATCAAAGTAGAACGAATTTTTTTTGTCAGTTCTGTGCTTTGGAACAGACTTGATTGATAGTTCATCTTTTTCAGGGTGTATTTGAACAGTTTTGTTATGCTTGCGCCTGGGGGAAGCTGTTACCACCTCGGGTACACAGACATTCTTTATGAGCTTTATTGGGTTGTCATGGTGAATCAATTTGGTGCCTATGATGTATGCACTCAGGTGTACTGACCTCATTGATCAGGGCCTTTATCGATACAAGATCAGTATTACGCTGTTTCTGTTCAGAAGTGAATGTAATGTTGGGGAAATCACATTAAAATTCTGCATAGGGATCTGTTTTCTTGTTCCTCTCAGGATTCCCTTTTGTCACCTTTGAGGCAGCTGTACACGTGAAAAAGCACAGTCACATGGATATTTCTTTCTCTTTTTTGTATTGAGCTGTATGGTGATTTGCATAGTGTACGTCACGTTGCATCGAACAAACGTGCAGCTATTTATGTGAACAATTGATTTGTGATTTTCAGAAGGATTGAGTCTGTTTTGGGAGATTCATCTTCTATATTGAATTTATTGCCAGTTTCATAACTGCTTGTATACACATCTATAAAGAATATAGCAAAACCAATTAGCATTTGTGTGTATATGCATACAGACTTTAACACTGTTTGCCTGTGTAAATAGCAAGCATCATATTGTACTAGTGATAGATATCATTCATGTTGTTATCTGATTGCAGTTTTGTTCTCTTTATGTTGTCTATATTATATCATTTGAATTGACTGTATGTGTGTGAGGTAACAGGGCAGATGGCTTTAATTGTACAGCTTCACCGTGATACGTATCATGCCAAAGCAAACAGGTCTTTATGAGTGAGAGTGAGGAGGAAGAAGGACTGCAGTGCTGGTGCTGCCTGTCGCTGGCTCTCTGAATGTTTACACGGCTGTATGAGGGGGGATCCTGGGAGGCTGCTATTTTTAGCCCTGGTTTCATCATTCCTCTCTCGCCGCTCTGTGTGCAGCTGCAGCCTGGTGTTGCATTCTAATGAAAACA